GCCCCGGACCCGAGAGCATGTATGTATGTATGTATGTATGTATGTGTGTGCGGATATGTATGTACGTATTTTGTACATGCATGTGTATATGCATATACACGTACATATGCATATCTGCATGTATGTGAATGTATATGTGTATGTGCCTGGGTACGTGTATTTGAATGTGCATATGCGTATGTGTGCATGGTATGCGCATCTGGCTGATTATCTGTCTGTCTATCCCTGTTTAGTTTACGTCTAAAAGCCCCTCCATTACAAAATGTTCGAGTCGTTCGAGTGCACCAGTCACCGAAGCAGTTCAAGCAAAAAGGACAGCGACGTCAAAGTGGGTCGCTTGAAGGGCATGATGGGCCATGAGGTGCGGAGGGGCCCCTTTGTTCAAATCGGCGCATCTTGCTATGCCCGGGGAGGTGTCAGGCTGTGGCGCTTGATGGTCGAGGCTTCTGTCGTCATGTCCTCATGCAAAACTCCGCCTCAGGGTATCACAGTACCAGCAACCCTAAGCACGAAAACCTCTAAACACTGGACCAAACCCAAACTTGCTACTGTAGACACTAGTCCTTTGCAATGTTGTCAGGCCAGCCCACCCCCTCCCCCCCCTCAAAAAAAGCAACAAGAGCAGCGTCCCTAGAACAGCCCCCACCCCACTGCCAGTAGGCACCTCGAGCCGCGAGCATCTCAGAGGGTTCGAACAATTCTGAGTTGGGGCTGAGGGTACTTGAAGTGTTTGTTTAGGGAGTACCATAGGGGTTACGGTTACCATAAAAAGGGTGCGATACGGGCTACCATACGGGTTTTGGATTTTTTGCTGGGTGGTAGTCGGCAGAAGGGGAGCTCAAAAGGGTCTGGGGTTGAGGTTTAAGGATCTTGACTCGGACAAGTAACGCCTAGGCTTCGAAATATGTGCATGCGCGGTCTCCTGATGTCCTTCCAACGAAGGCTTTAAGGTTCTAGAGTTTCGTAGGTTCTTGGGCTAGCTGGGCTAAGGTGTTTTGAGTTTGTCAGGTGCCAGTGTTTGCTTGCATCCCCTCACCGTGCAATTAGTGGGACCAGACTCTTTCGATTTTCTGCTACACCCTATAAACCCTAACCCCTAAACCCTAAACCCTAACCCCTAACCCCTAACCCCTAAACCTTAAGCAGCAGCCTAGCTTCTTGGTTCCAACACGGTGGAATAAGCGTGATGAGGCCGTTGATGAAGTACTGAAACTGGAGACCTTCCGCATGGCCTTCGGAGATTCAATGATTGAGAGCAGCGACCGCCCATTGCTAGGGTTTAGGATTTTAGGGTTTAGGGGTTTAGGGTTTAGGGTTCAGGGGTTTAGGGTTTCGGGGTTTAAGGTCTAGGATTCAGGGGTTTAGGGTTTAGGGGTTTAAGGTCTAGGGTTCAGGGGTTTAGGGTTTATGGCTTAGGCCGGCAAGGGTGTGTAGCGCAGGCACGCTGTGTAGGAGCAATGTTCTGAGGCACCGGACCTGGACTCGCTGAAGGCGCATCCCAGGCTGACAGTGCTGGTGGTGTTGCTCGGCCGGCTCACTGATTTTTTGGCACTGCTCTGAATGCAGAGGTTTGCTATGAACTATATATGTGTGTGGTATACGTGTGCTACCGTCACAGCACTCTGATACTGTACCTTTTGTACTTCTCTGGCAGAAGCATCAGCACTAGCAGGGGAAGTGCCCGCAGTACATTGTTATAGCTTTTCGTTGTCCTTGCTTTGACAGACTTGATGCTTTTTTTGCAATTATCCTGTTTCTTCCGTTGAACTGTAGCTGCAGCTGGTACGTTTCACCACTACGCCTGCTATTCCTGCCGCCTCCTGCTGATGCCTCTGCATGGTGTCTAACTCTCCGAATAAACATCATCCGGAGCAAAAGAGCTTTCAAGAGACTGCACTCAAGGAAAGAAGCTTTTCTGGAGACTCTTCCCCGCCATCCGGGAGAGAGCAGCCTCGACAGTGCTCCTGCTGTAGTTATGTGCCTTGTTGTCCCAGATTTCCCTAACCCCCCAGGTACCTACTATACAGGGTCCTAGAGCCCCTAGGGCCCTATATAGTAGGTACCCGGGGGTGAGGGTTTTTTATTGCAAAAAGTAACGCCCTGTTCAAAGACCTGAGACCCTTCGCCCTCACGAGACCCAGGTTCCACGAGGAAAGCCAGCCCATTTGGGAGCAAGTAGCCCCTCGTCTGCCAAAGGAACGGTCTCCGGTAAAAAGTGAGGCGAGCATATGATGAGCACCACCACGAACAACAAAAGCATCAACCAGTACGAGAACGTAGCAAGAGATGCATCAGCACATGGATATACCCAAGACCATGCCAGGTCACTAAACACGGGATCAACGATGAGAATGATTCTCGATTACCGGAGGGACCACAAATGCGTTTAGACCCGAGTCCGGGCGAAAATCCTAAGCCCCGAGCCTTAGTGGGGCCCGATCCGGGAATCCCAGGCCCTCTTTAGGCTTTCAAGGACGAAGCCCCAAACCGGCAGGAGCCGTGCCCAGAACCTTCCCAATTAAGTTAAATGTTCAGGTCTCCTGCAGTGGCGTTCATGGCTTCTTTTAGGGCTTTAGGGCTCGTGCCGAGCCAAGTGTTGGGATTTTGGGAATCATAGTATATTGTATGCTTTTGCCAGCCACAACAACTGAACACCTTGCCTAAGCTCCAGATCCCGAATGCGGAACTTGCTCCAGAATCAGCCCGTGCGGCGCACGCCAGAGCCAAGCCTACAACAAACTCCCAAAACCCTCACGCCTTACAGCTCCAAGCCAGGCCTAACCTGCAAACCCCGAATACCACCCACCCAGTGCCAATTAGGGACGCTGCAGCAAATCGCTTCAGGTCTGCTTCCTCCACTACTTCCACCAGCAGTCCAAGATCCTCGACAAAACGATCATCGTGCTGTCCGGACCACGAGCAGAAGTTAGGTGTACACTGGGAGGGTTTATGAAGGGCCGGTATAGTATAGGTGGGGCTAAAAATCCGCAGTGGTTAGATTCATTCAGGGCTTGGCTGTGGAAGAAAGGACCCAAACCATCCGGAAAGACAACTCAAGCCACCGAAGATCGCTGAAACTTGTGGAGCCGTGATGCAACTTTACAGAAATCCTATCGAAAGAACTATAAGACCTAAAACCTAACCCCACCTTTCATTGAAAGCCTAGAAGGCCTATCTTTATTTCCCCCAAAAATTCTGCACCCTAAATCCATGTTGGGCTCCAACCAAGGGTCTCGAAAACAGGATCCGACACAATCTTGCCATCTTACTACACTCTCGACCGCTTTTTACAAAATCCTAAGCCCTAAACCTAGATTGGCGGAGCTCAAAGAACCCAGAAATCCTGGACGCGATTGCCAGGAGTGCATCCGCCTTCGAGCATCTTGGAAGAGTGGGAGGATCGGGCTCCTCTGTTCCCGACTTTAGGGTTTAGGGTTTAGATTTAGGGTTTAGGGTTTAGATTTAGGGTTTAGGGTTTAGATTTAGGGTTTAGGGTTTAGGGGTCGGGCTTTTAATGCAGGGTGAAGTCTGACCCGAAAGTTTGACTTGGTTGTTTGAGTGCGTGGTGGTGCGTGGGGCCGTTAGCCTAATACTACCGGAGAGGAATCTTTGTTAGTGTGATTCCTAGATAGAATCAGAAGCTCGCGTGCAGGACCAGAGTTGTTGCTTCCTTGTGGGGAAGCTGACCAACACCAAGAATTTGATGCACGCCGGGGTGGAGGCGGGGAGCCGGAAACTGTGAACAAGTCACCTGTCACCAAAATCGTGATCTAACATCTTCAGAGAACCATGGACAACAAAGCGAGAGAGAGGTTGAGATGAGGTCCTTCTTGTAGGAACTCCTAAGTTCGGAACTCCTAAGTTCCTAAGTATCCAAAACCTTCAGAACCCCCTTGGCCCCGGCCCTCAGCTTCCTACTCCGAAGAGCCCCCAAGGCGGCCAGGAACGTCATCATCATGGGTCGCAAGCGCCCAGAGGACAGATGCCTGCGAGGAAAAAGTGCAGGGACCCTGAAAGAATCTGCGGCTCCTTTGGATATGTCCTGCAGATTCTAGAAGTGTTTTGGATGTTGGATTCTTGTGCCGGCTTGCTGGCCGCCAATATCAAAGGCCGCTGGCCTGAGCCGCAACGGCTGTAGGATGAGAGACTCAACAAGTACAGTCTCGACAACCCAATCTCAAGCATGAACCATGCAGAGACGGCGAAATATATTCTGAAGTGGTTCATTGCTGGATGTGCATCTGTCATGCTGTTGTCACAACTATTGCTATCTCGCGAGGAAAGCGTCAAGCTCCGGACCACTGCCCTTGCGGATGCCGAATGCGTTACTCTTGCGGGCTACATCGAGCAGGCGACGCATGAGAAGTATTTACCTTTATAGCACTGCCACTCCAATATTCCTCCTACTCTACTTCTACTACTACTACTACGACGACGACGACGACTACTACTACTACCACCACCATTTCTACTACCACTACTTCCACTACCACTGATACTACTGCGACGATGCAGGCACTCGCACAACAAAATGCGATTACTGGCTGGAGGCCGGCATTTGCATCTCGCTTTGTCCATGGATGATTCCTTTCTTCACCACTCGCACCTGAGGAGTTTTGTCTCGACTGAAAAGAGAGTATAGCCCGAAAGTTTGAATACCAATCAGGCACATCTCCACAGTATCTCGACCCTTGACAGCACATGTCTGTTCTCAAAAACCTCAGATTAAAGACGCTCTGTTCCGTTCTTGTGCAGCAATCCCAGGGCCCCCTACACACGGCCATGTGCAGTCCACTCAACATCTTGGGGCTGTTTGTCACACAGCAGTCTCTCACTTCATATAGTAACTACTCCCAAAGTATGGGTAGATACGCATTAGGCGCGTGGTACAGAGATGCACAGCTTTCACCCACAGGCGTGGAGGAAAGGGCAGTGGTGTAACAGTTTCATATACCCCTTGGAGAGAATAGCTTCTGTTCTGTTAACTAGCTAGTAGATGTTTGACATGATGCAGGGCGTCGCAAAGCGTGCTCTACGAGTTTGGCTACACCGACTCCGTGTTCCTCACTGGGCACTTGCCGGCAGCTTACGGCAGCAGCCTAGGCCAAGTGCAGAAGCGGACGGCAGTGTGCTTCGCCACTAAGCTTCTTCGAATATACAAACTTGCCGAGTTCCCGAGGCCCAAATTCCCACACGGCACAGCCCCTGAATCCCTAAAGCTCTAAGTAGTCTAATACTACCCAGAACCGAAACCCGGCTAATACCAAACCCCAAGCGGTTGCTGCCGTTTCGCTTCAGCAAACAGAGGGGTCGAAATATCTGTTAGTAGGATCCGCTGGCCGCTGACGGTCCGCGGCATAATTTTGGTTTATAACGGAGACCAAAGTTCTACCTGAATTAGACCCTTATGAAGCCCGATTAAGCTCTATCAGCACCAAAACCAAAGTTTATCTGAAAGGTTCGAAGTGGCCCAGCGACCTGCGGCCATGAGGCTTGCCAAGAGTCGGGAGCATAGCCTGTGCTTCCCCAGTTTTTTGGTTTTAGAAGGTTTTGCAGGGGCTATGTACGGGTATCAGAAGGCTTAGGTCTTATTGAGTAAATGCTTCGCGTCGCCCGTCTCGGCCCGGTCGCCGGTGAAAGGCAGTCAGTCGGAGGGGGGGCATGGGGGCTTGCGCGCTTGTGAGCCAAAATCCAATTTTAGGGAGGGGGGGGGGGGGGCCACCTGAGTAGCGGTATTCTGCATGTCTACATCCACCAAAGTTTGCGGCCTTTGGTGCATCCACTGTCATCAACCCTACAGTCATTGTGGATGCCCGACATAGCGCGCCGTGTGTTTCCAGCAAGGACTCGGGAAGACCCTTGTTGTGGAAAACAGCGAGGCGCACTTCACATGGACCAGGATCCTAGAGGGCGAGTGCATTCCCTGATTTCGCGAAGCTGAATTGTGTCCAAGGTAGAGTCTTCCATGTCTGTGGGTAGAGGGAGTGGGTTTGTTTTATTGCATCATTGGCTGGGGTTGCTTGCGAACCACTGCAGC